ACGAGCAGTAGCTTAAATGTGACGTTTTCAAGTGTAAATTTATTTTAAATATGGAATAAATAATCTTTGACTTTGACTTTGAATGTATTTGTTTGCGTGATATTTTGAACTTCATTGTTTTTGTTTCTTGAGTACGGGAATATGGAGGTTAATGTGTTTCACACCCATATACATTAAGGGGTAGAGCATGATATTCTCGCTGTCGTTCTGAAGTTCCAGTCACTTTGAAATAATCAAATAAATAAATAAAATATTAGACAACATAGCATACAGAGCTCTGACCACAAAGTAAGTAACTAAAGCGCTTGTGTTATGGAAATTTAAAACAACGACAGTACCACCAACGCCCAGACCTGAGACAATTGACCCGGCCGGGGATCGCACCCGGCACTTCATTGATGGCGACGCATAAAAACCGGTGGGCAAGCAACTCCACCACGGAAGTCGTGATGAAATTGTCTTTTTGTGTGAAACCAGACTAATAACCCAAATTTTAAATACTGGTATTATGAATTTGTTTACATTTTTGCTCATTTTGCAAGCTTTGAAATCAAGCATAACCAATAAAGAATGCAACGTAGTTGAAGCTGGTTACCACAATGTCTTTGGTTTTCTGTACCACATAATGCAAATGATATAACTGTGATTATGACTATTATCTGAACTATTGACTGAATTATTAACAAAAAGAATACCTAGGTACCTATTATTACAAGTTACGTTTTAATATTATTTTGAAATTTCAATCAATGTGCTGCCACCTAGCGGTTCATTGCTGAACGACGAAGAATTGGAGTTATTAATTTAGTACTCCAAACAAGAAGCGACCTTATTGCAGGGGTATAGACTTCATTTTCGTGTCTTGTAACAAAAAAAAAATTATTAATAAAATTTATTAAAATAAGAGTTTTCGATGATATAAAATACCACCACGGGTAGTATTTTTTCTAGGATTTTGGAGAATTTGCACGAAAGAATGACACAGCCATAATATGCAAAGCGAAAATGCTAAGGATCAATTTCCGTTTGGATAATTAAACTGTTGTACGAAAGATCAACTACAAATTGCCTGAGATTATTTCATGACATAGAACTTCACATTATATTTCATAGTAGGTACTATACCTATTAGAATCGTATCAACGAGATAAAGTTATAAGACAAAGTTACAAACAGCTCATTGACTCCTCTCAATGATGTGTACCAATTTTGCAACTCGCACGACTCGACATTTACTCGCACGCACGAAGCCCAAAAGACCGTAGAACACGCATGCACGCACACACGCACCCAAACCCCGAACCAAACAATTGGCAAATCCCCAAATGCACAACTTATATTGTCGGCCTGGTGATGCAACCTTAGAGTGGTCCGGAAATACCAATAATTCAACAGGCCGCGACTTACGCCGTGATTCCACCAAAACCGGATGGATGTCACCACTAGGCGCGACATTCATACTTGATTACGATCTGGATCAGTTGTTGACACAATAACTAAGCAATTGGCAATTCGCCGAATGCACAACTTATATTTTCAGCCTGCTGATGCAACCTTTGACTGGTCAGGAGTAGAAATACCGAAAATAAATTTCAATTCCTAATTATGGCACGCCGGCGTCCCGCATGGTCGAATACGTGGTGGCCTGCTCTTGGGCTTATGTGGGCGGCCGGCGGCCCACATTCCACAGTTCTAAATTTATTGGAATTATCATTTAGTAATACCATATTACCATTTAGTAAACACACGTTCGCGAACACTAAATATCACGTTTACGGTATCAAAATATGACGCACTTTGTTTTCGCCATGTCAGTTAAAGATAAAGTGAAAATCTCACCTGTTCAGCAGGAGCGCCTGGAGGGGTACATCTTCTGTCCCTAGTGGTGACAGTCCTTTCAAAGTTCATACACTGAGTGCCCTGCGGCGCATGTATAGGGTCATCAGGAGGAACCATAATAGTCGCGCAATGAGGGTTTGTGTGAGGGTTTGAGTTAGGTGAGAGCCGTCCATTGGTCTCACAACACCTCACCCCTAATGGAAGAATGGCATAAGTGAAATTACGTCAAAAATGCTCCATTGGATACAGAAAAATATTACCCGCATCCTTAAATTATAATCAATATTATTAAATTAATAAACACAAGTTTATAGTACTACTCGTACTTACGAAATATAGTCATTCAGAGCTTTAAATCGCAAAGATCTTAGGGGCACTGTAATTTACATAAATTTAAGTTTACAGTACTACTTACGAGATGGAGGAATTCTAAAATCCGTAAGAGACATGTCATGGGTAATAATCTGACCCCACTGTTGGGCGTTTAGGTTCCAAATAGGATCGACCAGTTGCTTGTCCGGGTACAACCGGAGGCTGATCGCGCGAGGGTTCGGCAGGGGACGACCTGTGGTCGACCGCGGCATTTCATGTACGCCTGAAAGTAGGTAGGTTTTTTATTTGGTTTACATATAGAATACAATCTCATTGTATATTATACACAATATTTCCCACAAAGTAGCCTTACATCATCTTAGGATGATAGTAGCATCTTTGGATAACATACGACCAACAAAGTTTCCAAATGACTTCTTTAGTTGTTTTAACAAATACTGTTAAAACAACATATACTTACATTGTCTTAGATAATTTTGAGTCAGTATGCACTTGGTAAAGAACAATGTGATAAAATGCTGCGCCGATGCAAAAAAAAAGCAAATTTACGTGGGTTACTGAGCAAAATATTTCTATAAACATTTTTGCGTGTCTTCTTTTCTAGACCAAAAATTGTCCTAACCTTGAAATACAATTGAGGTTTCTGTCATCAATAAAAAATGATCCGGCGTGATTTGATTTGTGTTTTGTTTTTAATGGAATTTGAAATTGCTGTAATACAAAAGATGTACCTACGTCTATTTGAATGGCGTATAAGTGGAACGAGTGGAGAAGATTGATTGAAATTATTGAGCGAGTACAACAAATGAGCCTCTAAGCAAGGACTTAATTTCTACCTCGATTTATTGTATTGTATTGTTTGATTGATGCGAAATTGAACGTAATATTATGTAAGAAGACACTCGGTGGTCACGTGAGATAACCACGACCCTTCGAAGTCATATTTGGCTTAAGTGACATCTATTGGTTCTGTGTTTTAATTCAACCACTAAATCAAACAAACCACCTTTGTGATGTCTAACAGCCGTGGCGCCACGCCCATTTATAGTAATTTTGTAAAAGTAATAAAGTAATTTTGCCAGTGAAAATCGAGTAAGCGGATTTATGGAAGTTTTTTTCATTAGTAAGTAATTATTAATGATTATGTATAAACTTTATGAAAGTTTAGTTGATGTGTGATTGTCCGTGTAAACTACGTTAAAATCTACAAAAAAGCTGTGGTAGTTCTTTTGCAATACATTGATAGATAAAGTGGTTACCGGCGGTAACCACCATTCAATGAGGGAGGGAGAATCAGTTTTTTGTAGGAAATAAAAGTTAAAATTATATTTCATTTATTTTAAATAATGGCGCGAAAGACGTAATCCGGAAGGATTATTGAATATATTTTATCAGAACAAATTAATATCCCTTCTAGTAATGATAGCAGTGCAAGTAAAGATGGTTCGGAGACCGATGATCAGACTATCAATGAGGATCAGGAAGAACCTGGCGAAATTCCTCTCGGCGGAGATTGATGTTGAGATAACTCCTGTCGAAGAAGTTGACCTGATGATAATGTACCGTTAGACAGCTTTTCCACTTCACAACCGCTTCTACCACCATCAGCTCCACCTGCTGGTCGGGCACTCCAAAATTGAAAAAAGCCTACACCATTTTATAATGAGAAGAATACGTCATTTCATTACAGACCATATACCTACCTGTACAAATATGCTAAGTTGCTCATAAAGAACGGACTCCTATAAAGGTATTCCAATTGTTCTGGACTGAAGAGATCATTCACTAGATAACATTCCATACCAATCTTTATGCGGAACTGCAAAAAGGTACTTACAAATCTGTTACTAAGAGGAAATCACTGTGTTTATTGCGCTGACTCGGTGATAGAAATCAAAAAGACCCTAAGTTATAGATACTGCTCTTCTGCTGCAGTAGCAGATGCAGCACGAAAAAAAGATCTGCTAGGTCTATTTGAAGCTGAAAAATATGCAGTCGTTCATTGCTATCGTGAGGAGAAATCATGTTTCGAGGATCAGAAAAATTAAATTTTTATGAAAATTTTGTTTATTTATTATGTGTGTGCAAACGTGTTTTGAACACGTTTACTCCTCCAAAGCTCCGAACTCATGTCTTTTAGCATAAATTCAGGGCATAAAACAAGTTCAATATTGACAATAAAGCCAATTTTTTTTAATTAATTTTTGTCACAATCTTCACGGTGGTTACTAATAGTGACCACCTCCTACATAACACCCCAGCATGCGAATTATAAAAAAAAGTGCACGAATGCTTATAATGGCACAAGAGTTAAAGCGTTTAAGTCTTTTATTGCCAGCGCAGCGGCAGGATAACAGACATTATTTTTAAACGACTAAAAAAAGGAGGAGGTTCTTAATTCGACTGTATGTTTTTTTTCTTTTTTTTTGTATGTAGGTATGTTACGCGATAACTCCGGCAGTTGTGAACCGATATTCATGGTTCCTTTTTGTTTGAAAGAGTGTAACGGAACGTTACAAGTATTTGTAAATAATTTAAGTTTCGACAAAAATATAGATAAAGTATTTACTTAGTAATAAAATTTTATATACCACGGCAATTCAAAACTTTGCCATTGCTTTCCTTCACAGCTACAAAACTTTGAGTCAAACGTAATAGTTGAATAAATGTTGCGGCCTTAGAATAATAATATTCTAAGGTTGCGGCCTTTCTTTTTAATTCTATAAATAAGCCTTAGGTCAAATCATAATCAAACCTATTTTTTTTTCTTCTGGAGCGGTTGATTACTCCCTAAATAAGCTTTAGGTCCTAATTTCGTAACACCCTTACTGTAATTGCAATGTTCTGACTGTGCCATTTCTATCATTTTAACATTTCTTGTAAGTACTCTAATGTCGATTCTTATGGCATAAGTCTTTCAGTATGTTAGTAGGCGTCTGATAATTATTATATTATTCGATGTTTGTTTTGTTTGTTTTCGATTGGTGATTCATGAAAGGTAACTGCAGGAAGTTGATACTTTTTATAACTTCTACGGATTTTAATTTTAAATTAAAATTCTTATGGGGGTTACAAGGATTTGTAAATAATATTTTGTATTTGTCTAAGGTCGCCAATGAAGAAATAAAATCTGTTTTATTTTATAGTTTATTCGACACATTTCGGAGGTCTATCGGAGGCTGGTGTAAAGTCGACCAAATATCATTTACAAAGAGTGCTGAGCAATTGTAACTTAACTTTTGAAGAGCTATATACAGCACATGTCCAATTTAGCACTTAATAACGCACACACTCAACATAGCCCGCACTAGAAAAACCCTGTGTCGCGGGTGCCATGGACACACACACAGACAACCACAAATTACGAGAGAAATAAATGTAGGCCATACAAATATTTTTCCCGTCCCGGACATCGACCTTGGGACCTGCGTGGCAGTCCGGCATGGTAATCGTTCGGCCACGGAGGCAATTGAAGCAATCCTTAATTCATGACCACCTACTTCTCTCTCGAGCGATCCAAAGGGCCTAAAGCCATTGACACCAGGACATTTCATTATCGGTAGACCGCTCACTTCCTTGCCAAGCCAGGATTATCAAGATGTGCCAAACAATCGCTTGAATCGTTTCCAGCAAAATGAAAAATTTCGACAACATTTTAGGTGCAGACAGCAAAGAATATGTCTCAGAGCTTCAATTGAGGACTAAAAGGCGCACTTGTAAAGTCGCATTGAAGATGAACGCTCTAGCAGTTTTAAAGGAGGACAATCTACCACCGTTAAAATGGAAATTGGGTCGAGCTACAACTCGTGTTTCCTGGCACTGATGGCGTCAATAGAGTGGCTGATATTAACTTTTGACTAACTACTCTTCTAACTAACTGAGTAACTTCTACTTCTAATTGTAAGCAGATCCTTTTAAAAAATTTGTCTACTTCCTGAAGCAAGTACCTATTACTGGTTGAAAGGCAAGGTTTCACCGGCCGGCGGAATGTCCACGCATGAATTTTATAACGAGCAATTATTTTAATCGTTGATTTTGCAGTACTCCAAATTAAGGGTTTTTCTCTCAATATACTTTGAGTCGTGAGAACCGATTTTTATTATTTTTACATTTATTAAGTCCCGTATAGTAGCGAACTAGGAGATGAATCCGGATTTGCGCACTTTCCGGTAACCGATTTCAATAAAACTTGGCAAATTTCACGAACTTTTGAGGTCGGTTATTCTAGCACTCTGTATTGAGATTATTATTATAATGTTTTCAAAGTATACAACAGGTACTTATTATCATTAGTTATACCTTACCTTGTTATTATAGGCCAAGCATACTCCAAAACAGAAACAGAAAACAGAAGAATCGTTTACGCATTTGATCCTTACAATTTCATTAAACATATATTTACCATCGGCATAATTGTGGGGAACCAATCGCCCGTAAGGAGTCTGAGGGATACCCCACTTTGGTCTGATCAGGTTATTGCAGGAACCATCAATGGTCCGATAGCGGGACTTAAGACAGAATGGAGGTGCCAAGCCACACGTTTGGGGTCCCGGATCAGTGTCAGTCTCTAATGGGGGAAGCTGGTCGCTGAAACAGTGAGAACATGTGTTATAATTCATTACTTTTATAGACGATATGCCGTTAACACACATTGCTGCTACATGCTGCAGGATGTATGTAAATGCAAGCAGGACGATGCAAGGAGATGGAGAGATGCAAATTGCAATGCGTTTTCGATTCCCAGATTGCGAAGGCGGGAACACTTTCTACTCGGTACAGTCTCTGGGCTCTCTTTAGACTGCACCACTCAAAAAGTAACTCCTCATCATTTACCACTCGCGGTTACAGTATGTTTAGTGAACACGCTAGACGGAAGTAGAGAGAAACGACATCTATTCGAAACGAACGCGCGTTAGCGACTTTAAATGAACGCGGTTGCGCCGCGGGATTTTCTCCCCGGGTGAAGCGGGTATATTTATACAGGGTATATTTCCATTCGCTCACCTGACTAAAATAGGGTGTTGTATTTTGACTAGGTAACCAAACATTATCCATTATTATTTTGGACAAATTATTTCAGTGTGAAAGTTAGACCTATCATTTTTTTTTTTCAAAAATAGAGTCTGATGAAATGACACGTAATGCGTAGATAAAATGTGGCTACTGATATAAATAAGTCACCTTGTAATTATACATATTAATGACAGAACATATTTCAAGTATTATTTTCTCACGAATCTAAATCTAAATAAATCTGAATCTAAATAATCCGAAACGTCTTAAAAACAGAGTCAAGTGTAAGTCCTCAATCTATTTTTTAAAATAGCGACATTGAATACGATCATCAATTCAATTCCAAAAATATTAGTTTTTGATTTTGGTTTTGACAGAGATATTAATGATAATCTGATTGAAAATCAAATATTATACCTAAATATGATATAGCAAGCTCAACATACTATGATTTTGGCTAATCTTCCTATGAGAGTGAATAAAAAATGAAACTATTCAGTTTTTTTGTCTTACTTCAGAATTTTGCTATTTAACTATATGCTGTCCTCGTGAAGTCTGTTGATGTAACTACACTACAATAACAACTACAGGTTAAATAAACGTAAATTGTTCTATCTAGAACTGAAAACTAATGACCCGAAAATAATATAAACATTCACAGAGTCATAAAACTTTTGAATCAAATTTCTCGTGAAAATTTTTTAATATGGTTACCGATACGTTTAGTTCACATCCCTATTTACGTCGTCGCGGTGACAATTTTTTTATGACGACTATAGCTACATACCGCTGGTTGTTTTAAACGATTAACATCTGTGATGTTAGTTGAGACATCGAAAAACTATCCATAATAATGAAAGGCACGTGAGACAGCGAGCGCTATGCAACGCGAGTGGATAGCGAGATTATGGGAATGTGTGCATCCGTACCCGACACGCGGCGGATGTGCACACATACAAGTCGCGCTGTTACGTTTGTATGGAGTTATCATACTTATTACACTATGATATTCATTTGAGTCAAATATTTTGTTAAGTAGTAATGAAATTTAGTTATGTAATTCGGATTGTGGAATGTTTAGCTTGTTTTAGAGGCGCTGTATGTATGGCCACTTACGAAGTTAATTAAAAGAAACAAATTCGTGTCTGTTATACATAAATAGGAATGCTCTATCTACTTAAATATTACCAGCATACTAAAGTTAGATTGCACTTATACAGGGTGTTAACTTAATTGGTGATTATTCCACCCATAAATAAGACCAATTTTCAATGTGGGAACTCCTTTCTGAAATATATGTGGTACGTGAATATATTATACTCGTCCAAACACATTATCAAGGCTGTAATCCCTTCGGTTGTAAAGCAATTAAGTTAAAACTGTGAGTATCTAGGTACCGACTATTAAATTATGCAGTGGGTTCTAAAGCTACGTTGGTGCTAAGTATTTTGCTACCGGTTCAAATTACGAAAGGATTACACAACTTCAAATTATGTACATTTAACGCTAAGTCTTTTCTGAACGCTTTTATGTCACCGTGCTTAATCTTGGACACAATCATTGTTCTGTGGGCACAACTTTCTTTGTTCGAAATTACTTTAATGTAAATTAATAACATGCAAAATAGATAGCTTGATAATTTCAGGACACATGTGAAAGTTGCTCACAAGCAAATAGAACTTAATGTTTAATTAATTTGAACTAACTGATATCTAAATACCTTCAAGCTATCCGCTAATCTCACAAGATTGTTATCGTTTTGTGTGTACTTTAGAGCAATATTATACGGTATACCCGACTGCAAACGTGCATGAGTAATGCATGGGTGGTGAATTTCACTTTCCGAATTTCAATGGCACTTTTTGAGTGATTTTTGTAAAACCCTTTTTTCTTTTGGGTTTAAGGTCTTAAACGTAGGTACAATCAAGTTCAAGCAATATCAATAATTATAAAATCACAGAAATATTGAAGTTAAATACAACAAAAAACGATATTTTAGGTCACACGAATGAGATTGCAGTAACACGAATGATTTTCTCATAAACGTAAATGAGAAAGACGGCAAAGTAATGAGAAATTATTATTACAACACACATTTTATCGTTCACAAAAGAACATTTAACATGTAACAAATGTTTTAATGTAACTTCTTGTATCAAAATCCTTCTCATCATGTAAAACCATCTATCTATCTTACATATAGATTAATAAATAAATCTAAATAAGTATTTTGTTAATGTCATATAAACTTTGTTGTACATCAATATATCATCATTACCACCATCAACATCATCATCACGATCACCATTATCATCAGCATTATTACCATTCACATCATCATCACAATCATCGTCATCATCACCACCACCGCCATCGTCACCACCACTATCACCATCTAATTGTTATATTTTAAGTAAATGTATGGCTTAAAGTAACTATTTGACTTAAAAGTAGACTAGAATGAGAGCGACAATAATGATATTTGGATACATTTTTAATTATCAAGTGTGTAAAATACGCTGGACCGTTATAGAAGTGCATGGATTTTAAAGTTCCCTTTGTCTAATTGATGTACAATAAAGTTTATAAAACTATTACTTAATACTTATTTAGATAGATTGCTTTACATGAATGAGAACGACTTAGTCACTAGCACTGAAATTGGTTTTTAAGTCGATTTTTTGCTAAAACGGAGATGCACAGGTTACTTCACTGTGTACATTCCAATCCGACAGGAGTCCCTTCTCACGTGTACGTAGGGTGAAGGTGATGCGGTAGGAAATTTTGTTATTAGGAGGCTTTTAGTTGAATGGACACTAATGATAAGAAAATTTGAAACACATTTTGTATTCCCAAGAAAACATGTTTGTTTATAATGAATTGGAAAGTATTGCATTGGACGTGTAAGTTATTACAGTTTATCCTCGATGGGAAATATTGCGATTTCCACGAGTATTTCATTTTTTCTTCTTTTTTTTTAAATTAGGGCGACGTGGAACCGGCTCCCATGAATGAGAAATTGCCCACTTTTTTAATTTTTATTTATTACTGTGACGTAGTAAAGTAGTCTTTTTATGTGTAACACAGACTAAGTAAGCAAGTAATCATATTAAATAAATAATGCTTAGGATTCATGTAATAACATAAAAGTTATTGAAAGGGACATTTTTGGAGGTTATCTGAAAACGACCCGGGTGTCATCAGAGAATATTAATAAATTTTTCTTAACATTCTATAAATACTTTGTAATAAAAAGGTTTACAAGTAACGGAAATTGGTGCGCTTTAATATCAATAACGCAATTTAGAAAAAAATTACAAAGTGCTGAGAAAAATATATTTTCATTTGCTGGGGATCTCTGAGTAATTTTTGAGCTTTTGATAGGTACATATTGGAAATTATTAAATTAGAGGAGCAAACCACCTGTAGCCTGAGACGCTGGCTTGAGCTTGCGACGCCGGTGTGTAATGTATAATATAGTTTAGTGCCACTAGTAATGTGAACTTTAACACCATTGTGATTAAGTCTGTAACAAGAAAAACACAAATGTTTAAGTATTCATTCATTAAAATCTTACGTTATCTTCGTTATCTTATTAAAAATGTATACAGGCCTTTTTTTTCGGTTAAAATAAATTTGTAAAAACATATCGTAAGACCCAGAAATTGTTACGGTGTTCGTAGCAAGGCAGTTTTCGTAAATGAAAACATACGGAGGGAATATTTGTGCATTTTCATGAGGTTACACCCTGGTCAATTTCCGCCAGATATAAAAAATGTTCGAAATTCAAGTAGATATGATGGTCGCAATACAAATTTCAAAGTCTTCTATCACAGAAACTAATACAGATAGGTAAGAGGTGCTGGAAGGAATGGCATAGAGGATGACAGTGATCAATTGTCTGTGTCAAAAAAATTCAAGATGACGAATTCAAAATGGCGGCCGAAGAAAAACTTGCATCGAAAACTTGCTTGATCCGGCTGAAAATTGGCATGCGAAGGTCTTTAGAAGTCCTTAATCATAATTTGTGGTTAAAAGTTTATTTTCGAGACTTTTTATATGGCTAATAATATATAAGAGTTTTTTTCGTTAAGAATGGCTGCCGAAAAATATTTGCTCTGATTCGGCTGAAAATTGGCTTGCGGAAGCCACTCCAAATATGTATCCGGTAGGCACTTTGTAACCGGTACTCCTACCGGATACATATTTGTGGTCAAAATTAGTTTTTCGCATTTTCAAATGTAGACGCCATGCAAGCGTTCGTTGGCGGTAGAAAAATATTTGCTCTGATCCCTTTGAAAATTAGCAAGTGAGGGTCGCTAGGAAAGCCTGTAAATAATTTATTATACAAACTTTTTGGCGGCAGATAAATTGATCTAATTCGACTGAAAATCGTCACGTCGCCGTCGGTGTCTCTATGGGTGTTAAAAATAATTTGCGGTCAAAATTTATTTTTCGCAAAGTATTTGCTCTAATTCGACTGAAAATGGCATGGGCTTCAATCCTAATCCTTTGTGGTCAAAATATGTTTTTGCAACTTTTAAATATGGCCGCAATTAAAGAGTTATTTTCATATTTTAAAATAAAGTCTTAAGTGCTGAGGCCATAGGCAATGACTACAAAAATAACTAATTGGATATTTCGAGTTCTTAGGTTTTCGCGATTGTTACTCATATATATATATATATATATATATATGCGACTATACGCGCATATACGCGATTTAAATCCGGAAAAATAGTTTCATTTCCTATAATTAGATATTGTAAATATTCAAGTTTCAACATTTTTTTAGTGGTTAAGTAAAACTTAGCACACACCAATAATAATATTTTATTAAAAGTATAGGTAATAAATAGGTTTGGACAAGAGTTGTCATGTGGTAATTGTATAAATAAACCATTAATAAGGAAGTACACTGGAGATAATCTCAGTACAGAGTACTAAAAAACCGACCTCAAAAGTACGTGGAAGTACGTCTATTTGCTAAGTTTTATTGAAATATCCCCTAGTTCGCCACTATACAGGACTTGACACTGGAGATAATAAAAATCGGTTCTCACTACTCAAAGAATATTGAGAGAAAAACGCCTTGAATTGGAGAAATAGCCAAATCAACCATTAAAGTAATTGCTCCTAAATTAATGTTAGGCGCTATTTATGAAAATGAATCTTCATGCGTGAACAGCCACCCTTCGAGGTGGATGATTTCCTTCAAAATGAACGATGATTTTCTTCGAAATGGGACCACTATGGAAGTACCCCCTTTCCAACAAAAAAAGAATCATGAAAATCGGTTCACAAATACCGGAGTTATCGCGTAACATACATACAAAAAAAAGAACATACAGACGAATTGAGAACCTCCTCCTATTTTAAAATCGGTTAAAAATGAAGATAGATTGTTTAATAAGTTATTATAATACTGTGTACAAAACGAAATAAGACAAAAATAAATAAAAATAGTTACGTGCATTATTATCGTTTGGACTAAATCTCTATTTTGTTGTTTTTCGTTTTTAAGTATAATGATTGTTTGTTGTATTTGCAGTTGGTTCTTTTTTTAATGTTTGTTGTACTTTATCACGAATGTTTTAAAATATTTACGTCCTGTTTAAATTCAATTTTAAAACTGAAACGTAATTAAAACCAAAAAAGTATATGCGGCCGAATACTCTGAATATTCGGCTAGGAGCGTGGCCAAACAATTCAGCCTAAGGGCACATTCCCACTGTGTCGTGACGACAGATTGTCGTACAGTTCAGTGTCGTGCCTTGTATATTTCAATGAAGTTGTCCACATATAGCACGATACGATTAACTGTCGTTCACGATTTTTTATAGTTACAACGACAAACTGTCGTCACAGTGAGAATAGCTAGAACGACAGTAGTCGGACGATAAAAAAACGTTACGATAAAAACGTGACGACAGATTGTCGCAGCTCCTATTGTCGTCACGTTTTATTTACCGCTGCGCTGTCCGCACGTATTCTGTTCCCTGCCCTCCCCTCTCGTACCCCGCGCCCTCTGCTCGCTTTGCAGTAGCGTTGGGTCCTAGCCAGAGATGGGCAAGCGCCCGAGTTTTAACTTTATTAACCGGGTTTAAATCGGGTTAAAACCCGAAATCGAGGGCAAAAACTATTTACGTCTAAATATTTGTTGTGAATTGAGTTTTGTTCAAATTTAATTATAAATATTATTACAAAATATTTGTTACTTTATTATCAGGACAGTTCGATTTACCTTTCTATTGAATACATTCGCTTGAAAAGTTCATCAATAAATTGATACATAAAATCGTTAGATCGTATGCACTTGAATCGATCTTCATTGAGAATCCACAGGATTGACAGGTGGTGGGTATTATGTGGAGATGCCTCTTCTTCGTATAATAAAAATATACAAATTTGCTGCAAGTTATTGTATATCCCTTAACCAAGCAATGGACCATACGGAACCACATTACTTTCGAATGTTTTTAAAAGGTATGGTGCACATGCGAACCACAATATGTCAAACAGCCACAGACAAAGAATGTCCTTTATGATTTGAACGTGTTTTGCGTGAAATGT